CCGGGCAAAAAAAAAAAAAAAAAAAAGAAAAAAAAAAAAAAAAAAACACCAAAATTTAACCACCGGGATGGGAGAACTTTGAAAATAAATTTTTACAGAACGTAATTAAAATAATTGCCTTGTCTTGAGGATCCTGACAATTATTAGGAAAAATGTTTCACCCTACTATAATATTATGATGGTCTCAGGGTTACTGAAATACTAAGAACTATTTTTCCCGAACACTTCATGGTTCTAGATAGATATAATTTTTTTTTTTTCCTTTTTTGTCTTTTTTCGTGTCCGGCAACGGATCGCAACCCTCAGTGTCGCGCCCGTACCGGACCGGGACCGGCAACGGGATCGCAACCCTCGGTGCCGCGCCCGCACCTCGCTCAGCCAGTGAGCGGGAACCGGTCTGTATGTGGGATCCAAACCCTCAGCGGGAGCGCCGCCGCGCTCCCAAGTGGCCCACTGTAGCAGTGCGCCACCGGGCCGGCCCAAGATAGATATAATTTTTGATTCGTGTCCCAACAATTAATATTGGCCCTAGCCACGTGTAATGAATATGCTGTCGTGCTGCTTTGAATATGCTATATTCTAGAAAATTAGGGAGTTTCTCTTTTTAGAACTGTATGTGAACTAAGAATAAATAGGAAAAAAGGACTTTAAAGGCTCATGTACGAATAAATTACCAACCTTAGGTGCATATGTAAAGGATGTTTAATGTTACTATAAATTCTAGTGGTTTAAATTTAAATATTTAGTTAATTAGATAGAGTTAATTAGATAGTAGTTGACATGTGAGGAACATCTAGTATACATCGAAGTATGACTACTCTGTCCTGCTCCAAATTGTGATAATTAAACCACAAAGACAACAGCAGTAAAATCTATGGTACTAAAGAAATTATCTCCATCTTCTCAAGATCTGTTTGCCTGGATTCTGATTCTCATCCAGTATATCAGAAAGATCTGGGGAAGACTTTTTTTTTGCCCACCCCCAATGTGATTTTGACAATCTTTCTTTTAGGAGGACATGCCCAACCTGTTGGTTGAGAATCAGAGCCAAGTTTACTCATATTGAGCTCCATGGTCTTAGAGAGAGAAAAATTTTTTGAGAATCCCTGCAGGTGTACTCCAAAACATTAGGAGCAGAAACATGATGCTTCCCACTTTTCTCTTGCTTAAGAGAGTACCATTCCTAAGCAATGTTTCTAGAATATACTAATCAAAATTCTATGCATATTTATGCTGAATACAAATGATCTAAATTATCAAAGAGGAAATCAAAAAATTTTAAATAAAATGGAAACTGCAAAAAAAAAGAAAAAAAACAGTCTCTTACATTTATTTACTCTGCCTCAAGAAGTACTTTTGTCTGAAGAGAGAAAAATGTTAAAGTTCATCAGCATAATAAATGTGTACAATCAACTTACTGGCAACATTGTTTTCAGTCCTGAACGGAGGAATTCATTCCTTAAATGTATTCGAAAATCCAGCTCATAAGGAGAAGTGACAAGAGCATTTATAAACTGCATGCAGGCCACCTGCAATCAGAAAGCAAATTTTGTTAAAAAACACATTTAAATAAATTAAGGAAATATTTACTTAATGTATTCAGATAATGTATTCACTAAAGGCATATATTATAAAATAAAATAAATGCAAATATTTCCACAAGTATAATGATGATGATTTTAGATTATAAATAACAAAATTAATAATAAAGTCTCTAATGTCTAAAATAATTCTAACAAAGATGTGATGGGTGGTCAACTATGTTATGCTTTACTAAATAATATGAAGGAATATTGAACTCCCTCTGAGAAACTCAAACTTCCAAAAGTGTGCATTTAGAGCTCTTGATTATGAAATGTACCTCTCATATACAGCTGTCCTCAGAGTGCACTTAGCCTCGATTCTACATGATTACAAACACTTTTCAAAAATAAATCAAAGAAAATTATAGAAGAGGCAGTCTTTTCCCCAATGTATGTTTTTCTTTCCTTTGTCAAATATCAGATGGCTATAAGTCTGAGGGGTGACTTCTGGGTTCTCTATTCTGCTTTACTGGTCTGAGTGTCTATTTCTATGCCAGTACCATGCCACTTTGTTTACTATTGCTTTGTAGCATAATTTGAAGTCATGTAGTGTTATGCCTCTGGCTTTTCTTTTTTGCTCAGGACTGCTGTGGCTATTTGGGGTCTTTTGTTGTTCCATATGAATGTTGAGATTGTTTTCCTCATTTCTGTGAAGAATGTCATTTGCATTTTGATGGGGATTGCACTGAATCTGTAGATCGCTTTGGGTACTACAGGCATTTAAACAATGTTAATTCTTCCAATCCAAGAGCATGGAATATCTTTCCATCTTTTTGTGTCTTTAATTTCTTTTGATAGTGGTTTTTAGTTCTCATAGTGGAGAGTTTTCACCTCCTTGGTTAAATGATTCCTAGGTATCTTATTTTTTTGTGACTGCTGCAAATGGGCTTACTTTCTTGATTTCTCTTTCTGTTGGCTCATTATTGGAGAATATAAATGCAACTGATTTTTCAGCATTTATTTTGCATCCTGTAACATTACAGAAGTTATTGATCAGCTCTAGGAGTATTTTTGATAGAGTCTTTAGGTTTTTCTATATATAGTATTATGTCATCTGCAAATAGGGACAGTTTGACTTCATCTTTTCCAATCTGGATGCCCTTTCTTTCTTTCTGTTGCCCGATTGCTCTGGCTAGTACCTCCAGTACTATGTTAAATAGAAGTGGTGAGAGTGGGCATCCTTGTCTTGTTCCTGTTCTTAAGGGAAAAGCCTTCAGTTTTTCCCCATTCAGAATGATACTGGCAGTGGAACTGTCATAGATGGCTTTTATTGTGTTGAGATACTTTCCTTCTATACCTAATTTGTTGAGAGTCTGGAAAAATTAGATATCCATGTGCAGAAGAATGAAACTAGATATGCACCTCTCACCATGTAGTAAAATCAATGCAAAATGGATTAAACGCTTAAGTATAAAACCAGAAACTGTAAAATTACTAAGGGAAAATATAGGTGAAACACTTCAGCAACTAGGTCTGTGCACGGACTTTATGAACATGAGCCCAAAAGGAGAACCTACAGAGTGGGAGAAAATTTTCACTAACTATGCATCTGACAAGGGATTAATATCCATAATATACAAGGAACTCAAGCAATTACACAGTAAAAAAAACAAATAACCCAATTAAAAAATGGGCAAAGGAGCTGAATAGACAGTTTTCAAAGAAAGACATACAAATGGCCAACAGGTACATGAAAAAATGCTCAACATCACTAGTCATCAGGAAAATGCAAATTAAAACCACATTGAGATAACATCTCACCCCAGTTAGACTGGCTATAATAAAAAAAAGAATAACAAACGCTGTTGAGAATGTGGAGAGGAGGCAACATTCCTACACTGTTGGTGGGACTGTAAATTAGTACAACCACTATGGAAAACAGAATGGAGGTTTCTCAAACAACTACAGGTAGATCTTCCATACAATCCAGCAATCCCAGTTCTGGGTATATATCCAAAGGAATGGAAATCATCATGTCAAAGGGATACCTGCATTCCCATGTTTATCGTAGCTCTGTTTACAATAGCGAAGATATGGAACCAACCTAAATGTCCATCAATGGACAATCGGATAAGGAAAATGTGGTATATATACACTATGGAATACTACTCTGCCATAAAAAAGAATGAAATTCTGCCACTTGCAGCAAGATGGATGAGCTTGGAGAAACTTAGGTTGAGAGAAATAAGCAAAGCACAGAGGGATAAATACCATATGTACTCACTCATAAGAGTTAAGAGCTAAGAGAGAAAGAAGAAAGGGAAGAAAGACGACAGTGGTATGTTGGACTTGCAGAGGGAGAGAACATACCAAGGGATACAAAGTGGAGGGGGAAAGGGGAATGGGGGGGAGGTTGGGGATAAATGCAGGGATAATTGGGGGGATAATTGGGTAGGGGACATGGGGTATAATCACAATTTCTGGTAATGGACATGCTGCCATCACATCTTAGGCACGAGTGCTAACAATCTGATCTGTATGCCATGAATATTCATAACCAATAAAAAAGAATCCTCCTAGAAAGTAGAAAAAAATGAAATAAAATAAAATTATAAAAGTACCCTAATACTGAACAAGTAACAGTGATAACTTGTAGAAATTATTACATTGATTTCTACTCTCTCCATCCTTACTGGGATTTATTTGCACAAAATATAGAGTATTAAATATATAATTAAGATGAATTAACTTACTAGATCTGAAAAAAATTAATGCAAGTGAATTAAAATCAACTGGAAGGTACTGTGACACTAATACTGATGGTGTATTGCATAATAAAGTATGTATACAGACTTGTTTTCAAATGAAGTGTTTCACTGATTATACTGATACCAGAAAATGAGTTTTGCTTTTGTTACCTTCTGATTTTGAGGTTCCCTATTATAAAAGGAGACTTATTTTCTGGTAATTGTAAACTGAAAGTCAATCCACAAAATTCTAATTGACAAGTGTTCCATACATTATTCTTGAATAGCATTTTTGGAAAATGATGCTCAAATCTAAGGCACTGGCTAATAGTTAAACTGAAGAGTTGCACATTTAAATTGATTATTTTTAAAGTATGCAATGAGTAGTAGAGTACTCAAAGAGCTGACTGCAAGGGGACTCCTGGAAAATAGCAGATTTAGTAAAGATGTTAAGTATATCTAGAATGGGACACAAATAATTCAATACTTATTATGGGAAAAACACATCACCAAAATAAAAATATTTCAAACACATTTTGACTTGACTTCTCTAGACCTATTATTATGATAGATTTAGTTTTTTGAGATAGGGAGAAAAGATTACAAGGTATATTACATATAAATTTAAGCTGCTTTGGGGGAGATTAGTCCATCTACCTCACATACAGGTTCAAAAATCAAAAGTTGTGTGCTTTAAGGGGGATGATTGAGGTTGTTTCTAATATTACTAGATATCTCAATGATAATTCAACAATGTAGTCCAATTTCTATGGATGTTCAAATGTCAAGATAAAATACTTAGACAACTGACTACGTATTTGTCATAAACTTGACATTACGTTAAAAGACATATCAGATAAGTTATTATGAAGCTTATGTCTTAATAGATTACTTAACCTTCTTATTTACAATAAAAAATCATGTAAGTCTTCATATAGTTTCAATAGACTGAGATGTAAGTTTGCCTACTGTACATGTCTATAACTATATTATCACTGTATTTGCTTGAATGATTCTTGTTATGTTACAACTTTGACATGACCAAACAAGCCAAAGTACATGTACAATCCAAAATTAATAGAGAGACAAGTTGCCATCTGCTAGGACTGTTTTTGCCGGAAGAAATTCTAGCTTAATGGCTTGTATTAATACTCAACGAGTAAAGAGAACATTTCTGTCAGAAACAAGTTAATGAGTCTTGCAACTGTACCTTTACACAAATAAAAGTATTTAGATAGGGAGATAATAAAAATAATAAAAGTTGGTAAAACTAATGAATGTATCAACATCAAAATAACTTTAATAAGATAAATGTTGCAATGCTACTAAATACTTTATATATAATGTATGAATATATATAGTTGAATACTAAAATAAAGAAGTTCCCTCCATTGATTATAATATAAATTAATTAGGAGACACTTTGAAATCAGTAGTTTAAAGAGGTAAAGGCACTGGTTTAACAATGCACCATTTACTATTTATCAAATTCTATTAGATATCTAATTAATTACAAATAACATAAAATGGATAGTTATACTACCATGTCATTTTCCAATATAATCTGCTAAAGCAGTACTCTGTTATATGTTATTTATATTGTATGAATGTCAGAATGAAAACGCCATCTTAATTATTTTCATTCCTTTATGCTACTATAAAATTACTCTCCTTTTCAGAGAATAGAAACAATATCAATCCAAAATTGAGGGCCGGCCCCGTGGCGCACTCGGGAGAGTGCGGTGCTTGGGAGCACAGCAGCGCTCCCGCCACGGGTTCGGATCCTATGTAGGGATGGCCGGTGCACTTGCTGGCTGAGTGCAGTGCAGGTGACACCAGGCCAAGGGTTGCGATCCCCTTACCGGTTACAAAAAAAAAAAAAAAAAA